AGTTTTGTGAGGAAGGCTGCCTGGGAGCTATGCTGGATACCTCTTCTTTGCCCTACAGATCCACTCTCTACCCCTCCTCACCATGCTCAGTGCACCTGGAGGCCTCGTGAGCACCAGCAGGAAAGTGAGAGAGGAAGGGCAGTGAGGGTGGGAGGTATAATCCTCCAGCTTTTCTTCTGTCAGCTCACTAGGCACAAGCTGTGCCCCTTGAAGGAAGGTCACAGCTCCTGCAAGGCAGCCTTGTCCTTACTGACCATCTGCATCTAGGTGCTGGTCACAGCTCTCTTTCTATTCATTCCCCTTTGGGCCAGGGGGTGGTAATGGTCTACTGTTCCTAGACCCTCACTTCACTATCCCCATGGTTTTCTATGATCTGATCACACCTTTGTAAGTAGCCCCTTTATGAAAGTTCTCCTCCAATTACCCAGTTTGAGTTTACTATGTTTTCCAGCCAAGATTCTTTAGGATATAGGAGGTAAAATTTTTAACTACTCGCTTGTCTAAAAATGTATTCATTTTGCATACAAAATGTATCGATGACTTGGCTAGTACAGAATTTTAGATTGGAAATCATCATTTTCCTCAAAATTGTGAAGACATTGCTCCATTTTCTTCCAGCTTCCAGTGTTGTGACTCCCTCACTCCATCTTCAGAGCCAGCCACAGTAGGCCGAATCCCTTTCACACTTTAAATTCTGTCTTCTTCTGTCATTAGATCTCTCTCTGACCACAGCAGGCAAGATCCTGTGCTTTTAAGGACTTATGTGATTAGATTGGATCCATCCACATCAACCAGGATAATCTCCCCCGCTCAAGCTCAGCACTCTAAGTCACATCTGCAAAGTCCCTTTTGCCATGTAAGGTAACATATTCACAGGTTTCAGGGTCTAGGGACTGGACATTCTGGGGGGCCATTATTCATCCCACTACAGGAGGTAAGTGCACAGTCTAATCACTGTGGTTAACTGGAAGACTCCACTGGCAAGTTCTTAGATAATGCTAAAGAGACCAACCAGGACAGAGAAGGGTTCAAGTCTCATATCTGCAGGAACGTGAAGATACTCAATGTTTTAGCACAGGAGATAAGAAACTGGATATGAAAAATACTTATGAATCATTTGCAAACAGTTAATATGTTTCCACATACAAAATAGAGCAAATTAGTTTTGAATAAATCCAGAAGGAAAAGCTGGGATTAATGGAAGAAAATTGTAAGGAAGTAGACTTTGGCTCAACAAAAGAATGTCCTAAATTATTATTGTTGTCGCTATTTTTGGTAGCTGGTTGGTACAGGGATCAAACCCTGAACCTTGGTGTTATCAGCACCACATTCTAACCACCTGAGCTAACCGGCCATCCCCTAGAATGTTCTAAATTAAAAGCTGATTAACTGGGTGATCTGCCCCAGGAGGTAGTTAGTGAGCATTATGTATTACTGTAGTGGTAGGGATAATTTACTAGATAAATTAACATATTCTGACAGTCATACATCCAAACATATATACTGATTATCTTGTTTGTGCCAAAGAGAAATTAAAACACAATTTATTCCCTACTCCCAAATAATTTGCCATAGGATATTTTATGACTCTGATTTCCTCCTCGTTCCTCCTTCTCTCCATGCATTTATTTAGTAAATGTTTACTGAGCCCCTGCAATGGCCAGGCACCATTCTAGGCATTGAGCACACATGAATGAATGAAATAGACAAAACTCCCTGCCCTCATGGGACTCACATTCTAGAGGGAAAGCCAACAAGACAATCCTTTACTGACCCCTGTGCTTCCGCCTGTTCAGTATCTCTTGCACCAGACCCCTCTCTTCCATGCCCCCAACTGTGACCATCATTCAGGTCCTTTTATCTCTTACCTTGACAATTGCAGTGGCACTTAAATGGTCTCTTCTTTCATCTATCTCACACCCTGCTAGCAGATTGATCTTTCTGAAGCAGTGCTTAACCGACTGACCTCTGCTGGCTTCCGATTGCAGGACAAAAGCAATACAAGCTCCTTGCCTGGCTCTCAAAGCCCTTCCACCATATTTCCTGTTATTCCTCGTCAGCATCCACCACCTTGCTCTTCCTGTGCATGCCCCGCATCTTCCCACAAGCTCCTCTTTGCTTCTGCTGTTCCTCTTCTCTGGAATGACTTTATCTCTGAACACCCAAATTGTATCTGTCTTCCAAATCTCAGGTCAAATGTCACTGTGTCTACAGAACTTTCCATGATTTTCTTAATACTATCACTTCCTCTGGAGCTCACAGCACCCAGTCTACACCTGCTGAAAGTCATTTATTTAACTTCATATAAGCGCATATTCTCTTCCCTCATCCTATAAAGGTTTTGTAAAGCAGAATTCATGGCTGCTGTATTGTGTTAGTCTTACTGTTGTGCACACAGGTGCAGTCATTCTTGAATACTTGGAAGTGAATTCTAGCTTAATTTCTCTGTTTAAGAAATGTAAAGTGCATTTATTTGTCTCATTCCACAAAGATGCACAAACTGAACCATTTGTGTGAATTGCTTATGGAAAGCAGTTGGCAGTCAGGTCATTTGTCCATCCCCCTGTTTTTGTGGCAGACTTGATAAAAACTATCCTAGAAGGAACAAGTCATCTTTGGACAAGTAGGCTACAAGATCCCGAGTGCCACGGTGGGAAACTGTTAAATAATTTATTGGTCTGGAACAGAACTAGTTGCAAATCTGAACTCCAAATTTTAGTTAAATCAGAAAATGGATAGACATTCCATGATCAGTTTTCTTTTCTTTAACCCTGAGGATGATACTTTTGGAAAAGCAAAACTGTACCTGAGCAGGCAACGTGACAGTGATTCTTCTCCTGTGTCTGCGCTTGTCTGCACCATGTGAAACTGTTAATCTGGAAAATGCCATAGTCAATGCTGCCATCATCCAGGACAGTCTGAGCCGTGGTGTTGTAGTGGCTCTCATAATATGCCATGCAGATCCCTAGAGGGGAAAATGGCCAGAAGTGCCAGTAAAAGAAATGTGTCACTTTGTCTAAACCTGGTCCTGGGGACACAGAGTTGCCTTAGCCATGTTACCTAATTGCCTCTTCCCAATGACCCTTGGGCAGGACAGGGCAGGGAGGGCTCCCATGAGGCACTCGAGGGGCAGGGACAGCACATGAGAAGCTGCACACCTCGCCAGTGATGGAGCCTCATCTAGACTCAAAGTCAGGTCCTCCCCCTGTGATGCCAGCTGGGAAGGCAGTATTTTCCCCTTTTCTCTCTGGTGTCATAAGTATGGGACTTCAGGAATGAGGACATCAGGGGTAGGGGAGGAAGGAGGGGAGGCCCATATGAAAAGGTTGGGAAAAAACAGAAGGGAGCATGGATGGGACCCTCAATATCTCAGAATAGAGATCAAAGACAGAAGGAGAACAGGAAGGAAGAAATCTCACAGTTTCCAAGGCTAAAGCCCCCATAATTGTCCAGGCTGGCCCTTGAAAATATTTTTGCCAGTTTACAACGAGTATAAATTCTGGACTCAGTGACTGTGACCAGGCAGCCAATCAGGGCCAAGATGCTGGCAGTCTTCATCCCCAAAGTCTGTTGGAGGTAGAACCTGTCAAAGATCAGGAGAACAGGTCAGACCATCTTGATTCATCCTAAGATTATGTTTGTCACCAATGGGAACTTCAAAATCCGGCAGCCTCGGTTGTGCACGGCACTGCCTAGATGTTTCCTGTCACTTTTAATCATTCTGAACCACTACCATCAGGGAAAAACAAAGAAAGTACAGACATTGTATACCGCAGGAACAGAGTAAGATTGCGGGGACTTTCCTAAGGCTTGTCCACACTGTTACTTCTAAGTCAATGCTATGCTCCTGGGGTCAGGGAAGCAAAGAAATTAACCATTCTTTATTGACATCCACGTGGAAACCAGAGAGGCCGTTTCTAGGATTCTCATTTTAACCCTATGAATAGAAAAAATAGATTACCAAGGGCAAAGCATTCCCTTTTCGTGCAGAAACAGACCCCCCACTTTAGCCAGAGATGAAATAATGGAAGCCTGTGGGGGCAACTCGAAGATGTATTGTTTGGGGATTTATTGAAGGGAGAGATTAAGTACCTTATCTTTTTTCTATTATCTTTTCTTGATCCATTCCAAATGTGGGAGCATTTAAAAATATCAGTCTTTTATCTCATATTGCAATTGTGATGTTTTTCTGGGCTCCCGCACCACTGCTCTGGGGGGGGTCTCCTAAAAGTCTGGCATATGTTGGGTAAACAAGAGCGGATGGATGATAGGTCACAAGAGGAGGAAAGTGTTGGATGGTGGGCTTGGGGGGCGATAAAGAGACCCCCACTGAATTATTTAAAATAGGAATAGAGTCAAGAGCTCCATCTCTTGCTGGCTGCTGGCTTTCCACAAGCTCTTCCTGTCTTGAAATAATGTCTTCCCCAAATATAGCAATCTTTTTGGAATGGGGGAGAAGTGAAATTTCTGAAAACTGTTCAGAAGCTAGACTAAAAAAAGGTCTGCATATTCAGCAAGGCCAGAGCAGAGAATCACAATGAGGGCTTTAAAGGAATGAAACAATAGAGAACTACATTTCATACGGGGTGTGCAGAATTCATATTTGTGGATGGCAGGGGTCAGCAAAGAGGCCGGCTTTTGTTAGGTGAAGTTTTATTGGAACAAAGCCACACCCATCTGATAATCTATTGTCTACGGCTGCTTCCAAACTACAGCAGCTGAAATGAGTAGTTGTGTTAGAGACTGTATAGACCACAATGCCTAAAACATTTATTATCTGGCCCTTTCCAGAAAACATGTGCCAGTCCCTGGCGTATAGCATTGCTGCCTCTCTGAGAGTCAGACAAATGAGGTTTAACATGCAGAGCTCATAAACAAAGTTGATTTCCATCCCCTGCCTTAAGATCCTACTGGTTTCAAATAAATCAAAACAAAATCCCACAGCAAGGGTGGCCCCAGGCATAATAGTCGACCTCCTTCAAGCCAAGGCTTGACATTGCTGTTTCTTTGGGACAGGTGGCTTCATCAGAGTAACTTAGGTCACATTGAGAAGGCAGATTCCTGGTGCCTGCCCCCAGACACTGATTTCTCAGGTGATTCTGTGGGAGAAACTCTGATCTACTCACTCAATCAGCGACTGACAGCTCACATGAACTTCCTGCCTCCCGTGAAGCCATCTGTGATTCTTACAAGGCACCAATGGTCCTTTCCTCACTCGAGAACCTTAGAGTCACAGAGAAAAAAAGAATTCTTAATTCCTTTGTTTCCAACTGCCTAGAGATTCTAGAATTCTACTTCTTGGGACTTAATATCCTGCACTCTTGTGTTCAGAGGCAGGTGACAACTACATTTTGGGCTTTCCTACCTCTTTTTTTTCTTCTTCCCCCTCAACTACTCAACTTGGCCAGGGCCTCTGACCCAAGTGAGAGCTTATCTTTAAAGCAGTCTCCACGCTTGATCACAAATCCCATCAACAAAGGAAGTTAAGCGTGTACCCCCAGGAAGTGTATATTAAGTTTTAAATCATACTCCTGTACTTCTGTACTAATATGCTATGTAAATTATAAACGTAAATAAAAGCAAAATTTGAAAAAGGATGAGATAGAGTGAAATTAATATTTCAAAAGCTTGTTAACAGCACAAAATTTATTTTCTGCGTTTAAATTGTTATTAGTGAAATATTTTTAGTGAGATCAATATGATTTCATTATTTTTGAAAACTTTGGCTTAACACATTGTGAATCAAGAATTAAAGAACTGGCTTCAAGTTCCATTTATTTTCATGCTCAGATTCAATGACACATTTGAAATTAATTTTCATTGAGATATGTAGATCTAAGTAGATGTTTATTGTTGGCTACACATAACTAGATGTTATATTTTCTTAAATTCTACCCGTTAATAATGCAAAGTTTTACTGAAGTCTATTTTTAAATCTACATAGTATTACACTGTGTGGATTTAATATAACATATTTAGCCAATTCCATATTAATGCACATTAATTTCTTTACTCTGATAAACATATTACAATTAATAATCTTGTACATATGTCATTTGCACCTTTGCAAGAATATCTGTAGAATAAACTTCTGGAAATGGAATTGCTGGGTCAAAAAGTGTTTTTGTCCTTTTAATGGATATTGTCAAATTGCCTTCCACATGGGCTCATCAGGGAGATAAGGCTCTTTCCCCAGTGCCTGGATAGCACACTGTGTTGCCAAAGTTACCAATATTTTCCAATCTGAGATATGAAATATGGTATCTCAGCATAGTTTCAATTTCTACTTCCCTTATTTCAAGCTGGTTGAGCTTTTTTTTTTTTTTTAATGTTTAGGGAACATTTGTGGATCTTTTTCTGTGAATTGTCTATAATGTGAGAGAATGCACAGGTTTATTCTTCAAACGTCTTTTTTCAAAATGCTTTGAAATAGGAATTTTACTAATCACTGAGAAAATAGGGACAAATTAAGTGCCTTTTTATTCTCCAAAAACTCCTGTTTAGCAAGTCAGTGTATACAAGGTAAGTATGCAAAAGTCATTCATATTCTTACATACCAGCAATAAAAATAGAATTTAAAATTTAAAAAAATACCATTTACAATAGCCCTCAAAAAGTACTTAAATTTAAGTCTAACAAAATATGTGCAGGATCTACATGCTAACAATTATAAAATAGATAAAAAATCAAAGAAGATCTAAATAAATGGAAAAGATATACCATGTCCATGAATTTAAACATTCAATATTATTAAGGTTTGATCTACACATTCAATGAATCCCAATCAAAATCCCAGAAAATTGTTTTGGAAATATCAATAAGATGATCCTAAAACTTTTGCAAAAAGACAAATGGACTAGAATAACCAAAACTATTCCAAAAAAAAAAAATTTTTGAAGGATCCCTACTACATAATTTTAAGACTTAATTATAAAGCTGTAGTAAAAAAAACAGAGTGGTATTGGTGAAAAGATAGACACACAGATCAACATAGCACAATAGAGAGCCCAGAAATAGACCTATAAAAATGTAGCCAACTAAATTTTTATGAAGATGCAAATGCAATTCAATGGAAAAATGATGGTCTTTTCAACAAATGGTGCTGGAACAATCAATGGCTGTCTATGTGCAAAACAACAACACTGAAAATAAAGCAAGCCATATTGAAGGACACATATCTCATACCTTGTATGAAAATTAATTCAAAATGGATCAAAGACCTAAATGTAAAAAGTAAAACTATAAAACTTGTAGAAATTAATGTAGAAAATCTGCAGGTCCTTCAGTTAAGCAATAAAATTTTAGATACAATATCAAAAGCACAATCCATGAAAGAAAAAAAATCATTAATTGGACTTGATCAAAATTTTAAAACTTTGCTTTTTGAAATATGCTGTTAAGAGAGTGAAAAAACTAGCTATAAATTGGGAGAAATATTAACAAATTACATGTCTGATGAAAGCCTTGTATCCAGAACTTATAAAAGACTCCTAAAACTTAACAATAGAAAAAAAAATCCCAATTAAAAAATTAGCAAACAATTTAGACATTTCATTAAAGATGACATACAAATGGCAAATAAGCATATGCTAGGGAAGTGTAAATTAAAACCACAATTAGATATCACTTCTCACCAATTAGAATTGCTAAAAATTAGAGAAACAGATAATACCAAATGATGATGAAGAAGCAGAGAAATGAGAACTCTCACTTATCACTGGAGAAAATGCAAAATGGTACAGTCACTTCGGAAAAGAGTTTGGCAGTTTCTTTCAAAGCTAAACATAGACTTATCACACAAATGAACCATCACAGTCCTAAGTATTTAAGTTAACTGAAAATTTATGTTTGCACAAAAATGAGTTAACTAATGTATATAGCAGCTTTACTCATAATCACTAAAAACTGGAGGCAACCAAGGTGTCCTTCAACAGGGGAATGTATAAACAAACTGTGGTATATCCATACAATGGAATAGAACTTAGCAGTAAAAAAAGCAAGTTATTGATTCTGATGGAGCTCAGAAAATGATACTCCAAAGTACGGTGCTTTGGCATGCTGAGTACTTTGAACTTAAGGACATTGGAAAGGCCTCAGACACGAAGTTTCACTTTGACCTTCTCCTGCCCTTCTTTCTTCTTGCTCCCCTTTTCCCCTGCAAGGCAAACCATAGAAGCTAGAATTCCTTTTCCCCAAGGCAGCTCATAGAAACCAGAACCCCTCTTCTCTAACACCAGCCATGAAACCTAGAAATATTACTCTAACTATTCCCTACCTTTCTGTATAAGAGTTGGCCATAGAAAAATTCCTTGACTTATCTTGTCTGACAGTAGGTCATAAGACCCTCATCTCAGAAGGTGTCCTGCCCCATAGTCAGAAGAAAAGAATACTACACAGAGTCCAAGAAGAATCCGAGCAGACACCCTTGCTAGTTTTTCCCACTCGGTCTATTATTATTAGATCACAACATTTCTACATGGCTTTCTTGAAACTAAACATAAAATAGACATTTTCCTTTGTGTCTTTGGGTCTTAATTCTGAAGGCTCCTATATCATGTGAAAAGTTGATTAAATAAATATGGGTTTTCTTTTTTTTAACCTGTCTTTTGTTATAGAGGTGTCCGCCCTGTCCTTTATGATGTGGAGGAAATGTATAACACCTTCCCAGCCCCACAATTCCCACAACAGCATGGATACAACTTAAATGCATCTTGCTAAGTGAAAAAAGCCAAAAGACTATTCATTATACAATTCCATATATGAGACATTATGGAAAAGACAAAACTATGGGGATAGAAAACAGATTAGCTGTTTCCAAGGGTTGGAGAGGGGTTGACTACAAAGGAACCATATAATGGAAATTTTAGGTCAATGGAGTTGTTTTCAATAGTACTAAAGTAGTGGATACATGACTTCATGAATTTGCCAAAACCCATAGAACCATAGACCACAAAGAGTAGAGTTCAT